CAAGTGGTATATATGATGATCACTTGCAGTTGTGGTGCCGAAGTAAGGCAGGAGTTGATCCGTACGTACCGATGATGTCTTCCTATCTCTTGATTTACTTGATTGTGGAACTGTAGGCCAATGTTGGAAACAACCGGTTGAGATGTCTTGAGATTCCTGATATATCTTCAACGATCGGTTGGGACAGTAATGGTGATAGTAGTGAATGAATGGTAGTTAAGACACAGTTTCAATGAATAGTACTTTTATTAGTTAAACACAATTAATATTTGATTGAATACAATGGTTTGATTTGAAGTACAGTATTGTAGAGCACATGTATTGAGTGCTATAGTAATGGTATAACTCTATATTGAGTAGTAGACTAACTGAGAGGTCAGTATGCGCTTAGTATGCGATATGTAGTTACTGTTTGTCTGACTGACTGTCTTACTGTCCAATGTAAGTGTAAAAGCCTACAGTATTTATAGATCTTTTTGGACAACCGGTTGTGTGAGAGAGGACGGGTAGCTATTGGCTAAATTGAATGACTTTTGAACAGTTAGTGGTAGCGGCAGATAACTGTCAGGTCGGCGCCAATAGATTGGAGGCAACAAACGGTTGTTCAGAGAATCGGGTGATAAAATACTGTATATAGTTTAGGGTCTAATTGAAAATAGAAATATAAATCCAAAAATAGTTGCAAAATAATAGATAAACAAATAAATGATAAAATAAATGCAAAACTAAAAGGTAATAAAAATATTTCAATAAATTTATGCTAATTAAAAGCATATTCACTACACTCCCCGGCGCTTTAAGACTGGTCGCGGAGGTAGTATGGCTCGAGTTGACCGACGTGAACCAGGAATGGATCAGTTGACCGGTTGTAGTGTTGTATGGATGCGTTGACAGGTCCTGGGATAGCCATGATAATGAATGGTCCTTCAAATCTTGCGGACAGTTTCTTGAGATCCGGATGGTTAGATGGAATGCGACGTTTGACGAGTTGTCCGACTTTTAGGTCAATCGGTTTGTGCTGTCGATCATAGGCTACTTTAGCTTTGGCTTTGTGTTGGTCGGTATTATGTTTGGCCTGTTTTCTAGCATCCGTTAGTTCCACTCGCGTATTATGATTGTCATTTCCATACATAAGAAATGTTGGCGAGAAACCGGTTACTGTATGTACCGTGTTGTTGTAGTTCATAGTGACTTCCTTGAGCAAAGTTGTCCATTTGCGTCGCGGATTAGCCACTAATGCCATTGATAATCCTGTTTTGATGGTTCTGTTTACTCGCTCATTCGTCCCATTAGACTGCGGATGATATGTGGATGTATAGAGATGTCTGATATCGTGTTTAGTTAGAAATCTGTAAAAGTCTTTAGACTTAAACGATTTGAAATTATCGGTTAACAGAGAGTCGGGTTTACAACCGGTTATTTTAATTATGTCGCCCAATAATGATATACAAGCAGATGAAGTGTTTGTTGGTGTAGCTTTTGTCCACAAGTAACGGGAATGGTGATCAATTACAACTTGTATATACTGGTATTGATTACCGTTTGTCTCTTTACCCATGACCATAGTATCCATTGCAATTAGTTTCATCGGTTGATCGGGAGTAGGCAATGGTTGTAGTTGACCATAGGTTGCATGATTGGATACTTTAACCAATTGACATGTTSGACACGATTTGACGTACTCTTTAATGTTATGTATCATATTTGGCCAATGATACTGTATTTTAATTTGTTTAGTGGTTATCCGTATGCCAGGATGACCACTGTTGTCATGAGCTGTTTCTAGTAGAGGATATACTAGACTTGGAGGGATAATAGTGAGTTTTCGACCATACTTTATAATAGTCTGAAGTATTTCGGTATCGTTTGATGTGAAAGTTGGTCGACTTTGTGATGAGACAACCGGTTGGTGGTTGCCAGCTGTAGTAATCACTTGTACCGGTTCCTCATATGTAGACTTGAGGTCGGCATCGCGTTTTTGGTGTTGATGTATAATAGCTTCGCGTATGAAGTAATTGGCGGGCGCTCTGGACAAGGCATCCACGTGAGCCATTTGTTTACCCGGTTTATGGATGATTTCGAAAGTATATAAACTCAACTCTTCTGACCAACGAAATAGTCGTTTTTTCGTTGATTGGAAGTTAATGAGCCATTTGAGTGCTTTGTGGTCAGTATATAACTTGAATTGAACGCCTTCTAGATATATGCGAAAGTAACAGATGGCGTCATGAACGGCCAGGCATTCAAGTTCGGTTACAGTGTATCGTGTTTCAGCATCGGCCAATTTTCGGGAGTAATAGCCGATCGGTTTTCCACTTTGAAATAGTATGCCAGCGATACCGATTGTGGAAGCGTCGGTGTGGAGTTCAACCGGTTGGCTATGGTTGTATATCCCGCGTACCGGTTCGGAAGCCATTAGTTTCTTGAGGTTGTCAAATGACTCTTGATGTATTTCAAGCCATTTAAACTCTTTAGCTTTTGACTTTTTCATAAGTGTTGTCAATGGTGCGGTAACTGAAGCAAAGTCGGGTATATATTCGCGGAGATAGTTTGCCAAACCGTGAAATCGTTGAACATCTTGTTGAGAAGTCGGTATCGGAAAGTTTAGTATGGCTTTGACTTTACTATCCGGCGGACGTACTGTTTTACCATCGATGATATGGCCTAAGAATTCAATTGATTGTTTGAGAAACTCACATTTTTCTTTCTTTAGTCGGGCATTATTTAAGGACAACCGGTTAAACACTTCGTTTAATAATCGGTTGTGTTCGTCCAGTGATGATGAGTAGATTATGATGTCATCCAAGTATGATATTGTAGCAATTTCCGTGCGGTGATTTACTAATATATGTTCAGAGATAGTACTCTGTCAAAGCCGCGCTTACTATCACCTTCTCCAGCGGTAAAGTTGACACGAAAGCTACACGGATCATCACCTCCAAGGTGATGACACCCTCAACGACAGCAATCGCAACGTTTTCTCAACGATATTTATACTTTCAATTTATAAGCGCTTTATCTGCACTAAAATAAACACTAGTAATTTAACCTCACTTACCTTTGTTTCTACCAAGACGTCCCGATCCTGCCGTTCCTTCCGCTGCTTCGTTGTTTGTCGTTCCTGGTTTACTATCTATACTCACGATATACACTTCATACCGATTACTTACTCTAACTTTATCATACTTAACCTATATCCAACTCTTCAGTCGGATCTACTATTTTGATCAATGTTTTTATTGATCTACAAACCTTTATGTGACGTTTCCGTCACATATTAAACCCATATCCGACTATTACAGTCTGCAAATATATCTCGATCGGTGTTTCCACCGAGAGACAAACCTTTGGATAACATTACTGTTAACTAATATACCTAAGACTGACTATTTCAGTCTGAATCTATGTCTCGATCGGTGTTTCCACCGAGAGTCAAACCTTTAGATAACATTTCTGTTATCTAATATACCTAAGACTGACTATTTCAGTCTGAATCTATGTCTCGATCGGTGTTTCCACCGAGAGACAARCCTTAAGGTAACATTACTGTTACCTACTAAATCTATGTCTCGATCGGTGTTTCCACCGAGAGACGAACCTTAAGGTAACATTTCTGTTACCTACTAAACCTTAAGTCTCGATCGGTGTTTCCACCGAGAGACTAACCCTTAGGTAACATTACTGTTACCTATTAAACCTTAAGTCTCGATCGGTGTTTCCACCGAGAGACTAACCCTTAGGTATCATTACTGTTACCTATTAAACCTTAAGTCTCGATCGGTGTTTCCACCGAGAGACTAACCTTAAGGTAACATTTCTGTTACCTACTAAACCTTAAGTCTCGATCGGTGTTTCCACCGAGAGACTAACCCTTAGGTAACATTACTGTTACCTACTAAATCTATGTCTCGATCGGTGTTTCCACCGAGAGACAAACCTTAAGGTAACATTTCTGTTACCTACTAAACCTTAAGTCTCGATCGGTGTTTCCACCGAGAGACTAACCCTTAGGTAACATTACTGTTACCTATTAAACCTTAAGTCTCGATCGGTGTTTCCACCGAGAGACTAACCCTTATATTACCATAACAGACTATTATAGTCTGATATTACACTATGACCCGATGTTTTCATCGTGATATATGGCTGATCTACACTCCTGTAGATCAGCACACCCAGTATGTCTGATCTATGCTTCCATAGATCGACACGTTACATGCTGAATCCACGCTCCCGCAGATCGGCATACATTAAACTATGCTTTCCTTGTGGAATAAAACACTTACTCTTAAATGATGTAGTTGAATCCGTGGTAATGTCTGTTGAGTAGTTTATGAAATCCTATCCCGTTTCCTTTTGATAATAACTTTATTTATAACACTTTTAACAATACTTACATTATTAACTCAGTCAATTATACTTACTTAATTAACCTTTAAATTACTTCGCAAGCATATACTTTCTTGAGAGACTCAGGGCCGAAGGCCCGAGCCCATCGAAACACTTACTCTTTTGTTTTGTTAAATCACTTTATTATTATGTTTTAAAGTAAAAATACAATTAAAATATAAAACTTTACGTCTATTCACTTTGACGACTCGACGAGAACTCTCTGAGAGCTAGTCAACGACTCACTCTCTTCACTCTGAAAAAATCATATTCTATGACGTCGTTCAGCGTAATCACTCTGTTTCCAATCAAATAACTATATTTTTACTAACTAAACTAAACTTATAATCATTGGATATAAAACCAAATCCAACAACTACATTGTTAAACCCAAATAACTATGTGTACACCTTATATACTAAATAATTAATTATTAAAATAATCCTATAACTGCAATACATTATGGAACCTTGAAATCTTATAACATCACGTTATACATAATAATCATATAAATAAAACTGAGTAAATGTGATAACATTAGTAGCCGACATCGGCCGATATAATAAAAAACTCTCTCACAGTTTAACTATTAACCTAATTCACGTGAAGTATCACAATATGACACCGTTATTATGGAGATTTCCGAGAATCTTATGCACTACTCGATGAAAAGTTGCGGGACTATTCTTGAGTCCGAAAGGTAGGACTGTCCACTCATAGTGTCCGTCGCGGGTGACGAATGCTGTTTTATGTATGTCTTCTGGTGAGACGGCGACCTGCCAATAACCGGAAGCGAAATCCAATTTTGAGAATACAGTTGATCCTTGGAGACGGTCAATGACGTCAGCGATAACCGGTAATGGGGTCTTGTCGGCGACAGTTTTCGTATTGAGACGACGGTAATCCACACACAAACGATATGTGCCGTCTTTCTTAGGAGCCAAAGTGATCGGTGCAGCGTAAGGGCTCACGCTTTCCCGGATTAGTCCTTTTTGTAATAGGTCCTTCACTTGGCGGGCAGTTTCAGCTGCCATTGGAAATGATTGACGGTACGGGCGCTGTGCTGTAGGCTCATTGTCAGTCAATACGATTCTGTGCTCTTCAATTTTAATGCGGCCTAAGTCAGTAGAGTCGGCGGCAAATATTTGTGAATATTTGTGAATGAGTTGATCCACATTTTTATTAGGTATGGTAGGCAACCGGTTTGTTGTTGGTTGAATGGCCATATAATTGCAATGATGACCGGTTGACCTTAAGAATGGGTGTATTTTGTTTGACCATTTATACGATACGGTTTTAGAGTGTGTATCAATGATGACACCATAACGGCCAAGAGAGTCGATAGACATGAGAAGTGTATACTCGAATCCGTTAAGGACTTGTGCTTTCATAGTACGTGTCATCCGATTAATTGTTAGCTTAAATGTTACTTCACCAACGGTACGTATCGATCCACGAGCAAGTGATACGCTTGTTGATCGGCGATAGTTAATTGGAAGCCGTAGATGTTTTGCTACGTAGAGTGGCATTAGATCCACTGTTGAACCTGGATCAGCAAAAGCAGATAGTTCGAAATTCCCTATACGTCCCGGTATTAAGATTATGCTTTTGACATTAGCTGCTGATGCCATGGTTTGGGGACGTATGTAATGATTAGAGGTATCGGTTGATTGACTTGAATCACCAATGTTTGGTGTGACAACCGGTTGTGGTACGGTTGGTTTATGAGGGCAATCTTTATGATAGTGCCACGATGTCAGGCCACGGTCACGGCATATGCGACATGAATATGGTGGGCGAGACTTGTCTTTTGAATCCCGTTTGTTGGGAAAACGTTTGCTGAACCTATCGTTATTCTTGTCGGTTGTAAAATGTGATGAGCCGGGTTGTCTGTAATGTCGATTACGAGATTTGTCGGCTTCTATATCTTGAGCCATTTCCAGCCACTCGGTGGTTGATTTGAATCGACGGCCATAAAAGTATTCGCGATAGTCAGGGATGAGTCCATCGGTGAGGAGGTTGGCTTTGTCGTTATCAGTGTAGTTCTTGACTCGACGTAATAGCTTTAGTTTTTCGTCATAATATTGTTTTATGCTTTCGGCCTTTTGTTGGCGTCTTCTATTTGCGGCCACAACGGGAGGTATGTCGGAGTGTGTGTACCGGTCTAGTAGTAATTGCTTTGCATGAGTCCATGTGACGTCAGAACCGGTTAAGATATCCGAGCCATAGTAGTTGGCGGCGTCGTCTGTTAGAAACTCCATTATATCATCGACTTTGTCGTCATCGGAGTTCAATCGAAATGCTCTGTCAAACATCGATATGAATGCTTCTATCGTGAGGTCTGAATCTGAAGAGCCACTAAACTTCGGTATCTTCCGTTGTTTAGGTTTTGATTTACCGGTTGTATCTGTCGGTGCACCGCTTGAGAGTTGCACAACCGGTTCAATAGAGTTATTAACGTCATTACCATTAATAGACATGTTGTCTAAGTTTGTATCTTCGGTTTCGTTAGAGTTGCTATCGCTGTGAGGTATATCTTGTCGTCGATATAGAGTTCCGCTTCTTGTAAGTCCAGTGATAGGGGTTGTCATCAGTTATGCGAAGGTAAGGATCGTAAGTATGATCAGTGCTGACTGCGCCAATTTATAGTGTCTGTGTTGAGATCAGATCACTACTAGAGGGTGATTAAGGAGGCGCCGGTTGTTTAGCGTGGGTCGGTATGAGACCTACAACCAGTTATCTACTTAACCACTAGTTTGTTATCACCTGAAGGGTCGTTATGAGACCAATCAAGTGGTATATATGATGATCACTTGCAGTTGTGGTGCCGAAGTAAGGCAGGAGTTGATCCGTACGTACCGATGATGTCTTCCTATCTCTTGATTTACTTGATTGTGGAACTGTAGGCCAATGTTGGAAACAACCGGTTGAGATGTCTTGAGATTCCTGATATATCTTCAACGATCGGTTGGGACAGTAATGGTGATAGTAGTGAATGAATGGTAGTTAAGACACAGTTTCAATGAATAGTACTTTTATTAGTTAAACACAATTAATATTTGATTGAATACAATGGTTTGATTTGAAGTACAGTATTGTAGAGCACATGTATTGAGTGCTATAGTAATGGTATAACTCTATATTGAGTAGTAGACTAACTGAGAGGTCAGTATGCGCTTAGTATGCGATATGTAGTTACTGTTTGTCTGACTGACTGTCTTACTGTCCAATGTAAGTGTAAAAGCCTACAGTATTTATAGATCTTTTTGGACAACCGGTTGTGTGAGAGAGGACGGGTAGCTATTGGCTAAATTGAATGACTTTTGAACAGTTAGTGGTAGCGGCAGATAACTGTCAGGTCGGCGCCAATAGATTGGAGGCAACAAACGGTTGTTCAGAGAATCGGGTGATAAAATACTGTATATAGTTTAGGGTCTAATTGAAAATAGAAATATAAATCCAAAAATAGTTGCAAAATAATAGATAAACAAATAAATGATAAAATAAATGCAAAACTAAAAGGTAATAAAAATATTTCAATAAATTTATGCTAATTAAAAGCATATTCACTACAAAATAATTATTATATCCTGTATTTTAAAATATAAATTTATTGCATAATAATTATGATGTTTACTTGAAATAAATGATACAACTAATTAATATAGTTTATAAAACTTTATTATAAATAATATTATTTGTATTTTAATTGACATAAAAGAAATTATATATTAAATTATGAAATACTATTAATTGTATGAATGCTATTAAATATCATTAATTATAAAAAAAAATATTTTTATAAATTATAGTAAAGTAATAACTATATAATACATTAATAATAATTAAAAAAATATATGTAATTTTTTTCTGTAAACAATATTAATAAACTAAAAGTTAATTAACTTATGAAAAAAACAATTTATTATTGAAATATTAAAAGCAATTATTGAATAATATGTATGACTTGTTTGCACAATAGTTGACCGACGCTGCAGTAAATATGATAAATAAAAACTGTATAAAACATAAAATCAAACCATAGATTATAATTAGATTTGGTATGAAATCCAAATCATTAAATAATACGGTATTAAATATGACAACAATAGCTGAACCGAAAATCATCCAAACAGTTAGCATAAACTTTGACCAATAGGTTCGGTTATAGTCAGCAATTTCGGCACACAATTTGTCCATCAGTTTCAAGATATTTAATAATACTTTATAAGCATTTCGGTGTCGGTATGTTTGTAACAATTTCTTGTAGATTATCTGCATTTTGAACTTCAAATAGCGGCACAGTATGTAAAAATAGATAACCTGATAGAGTATATGATTATAGAAATATCTACTGAATATGACAATATAGCAGGCATTGGGTACACCATATAGTAGGGCATCGATAGGCGATAACATATGAAAATAGGTTATCAATGCCAGCAATAATACAATAATTGGTAAAACATAATCAATRTTAAACTGACAAAAACTACACAAWCGKGCCATCAATTTAATCAGTTTCATTAGTTTCGGGATATCAGTTAGACCGACACTTTTGGTGTCGATAAACCGGACATTACTTGAAAGATACGCATAAATGTTGGTTCAATACCGCACTTGTAGTTATAGTAATAGGTTAGTTGCGGTAWTAGTATCAACAGTGCAATCAATATTAATAACRTATTACCTATTATTTGTATACCGAGAAAATAGCCTAAATCACCCAACAGTGCCAACATTTGCCAATTTGTTTTATCAATTAAAAACAATGATATTAARTGTTCAAATAAATATATAATAGAAAGTGTAAATATAAGGATAGGTCTATAAAACCAGTGTCTACTCGGATAACAATCGGCAATCCGATGATAACTTAAACCAATACGATATAAATGATAGGCCGACCATTTGTAGGCGATTTTCATTGGTAATAACTTTGATGAATTAAATTTATACATTTTTATTAAACAATATAAAATTTTAGTTATTTAAATCTATTATACTTTATATAATTAGTTATTAGTACTATTACTACTGTTATTATTTTTATATGGTTTTTAAACAAATATATTTATGTTTAAATACATAATGTTTTTTAATATAATCAATATTTACTTATATTACAAAAACAATTATATTTTTTACTACACTATTAGGCAATATAATTGTTATCCAATAATATTGTTTTTAAATATTTAATTGTTGTTTAGTATTATATTTTATTTAATAACTTTATTAATTAAGTTTATCAATAATAAGAAATTAATTAGTGTATTTTTCAGTATTATAAATTATTATATTAAATACATTTTAATATTATTGACTGTTTTTAATATTATTTATTTCTAGGAAATTACATTAAAGTTACAGTAAAATATGTTTAAATATCATATTTAAATGTTAGATTTAATTATTTTTGGATTTTATATAATTAATTTTTTAATATAAAATAATCCAAAACAGCATATAAACCAAAAGTTTAGACATCAATATAATTATTTATTATACAATATTATTTTAATTTAATTATTTTGTTTTTACACTATTAGCTAACAATAGTATTAAATGTATTATTTTTTATGTTTTCAATTATATTACTGTAGTACAGCATTAATGACTATAAAAAAATATTAATAAAAATTATAAGAATATTAAATGATATATTAATATGCAAAAAATTACAATATTGATCAAATATTATAATTTAAAAAAATTTAAATTTTAGTGATTTAAATCTATTATACTTTAATTAATTAGTTATTATTTTCATATGGTTTTTAAACAAATATTAATGTTTAAATATATAATGTTTTTTAATATAATCAATATTTACTTCTATTAAAAAAAACAATTATATTTTTTACTACACTATTAGGCAATATAATTGTTATCCAATAATATTGTTTTTAAATATTTAATTGTTGTTTAGTATTATATTTTATTTAATAACTTTATTAATTAAGTTTATCAATAATAAGAAAATAATTAGTGTTTTTCCAGTATTATAAATTATTATAATAAATATATATTTTTTTAAATATTTTAATATTATTGACTGTTTTTTAATATTATTTATTTCTATTAAATTACGTTAAAGTTACAGTAAAATATGTTTAAATATTATATTTATATGTTAGAGTTAATTATTTTTGGATTTTATATAATTAATTTTTTTAATATAAAATAATCCAAAACAGCATATAAACCAAAAGTTTAGACATCAATATAATTTATAAAAAAAAAGATATTTTAATTATTTTGTTTTTAAACTATTAGCTAACAGTAGTATTAAATGTATTATTTTTTATGTGTTTTCAATTATATTACTGTAGTACAGCATTAATGACTATAAAAAAAATATTAATAAAAATATTAAATGATAAAATTATTTGCAAAATTAGAAAAATTAAGTTTATAAATACAGTAGTAGTTTATATTAGTTATATTTTTATAATAATTATAGATTATATAAAAGTAATAAATAGAAATTTATGTAATTTTGTTGTCATTGCCATATTAATAGTTATTAAGAGTTAATTAACACATTAAGTAAAACAATTAGATTTAAATTACTAAAAAGTAATTATTAAATAATTTGTATGACTTGTTTGAACAGTTGTTGACCGACGCTGTAGTAAATATGATAAACAAAAACTGTATCAAACATACAATTAAACCATAGATTAAAATTACATCTTGTATTAAATCCAATCCATTAAATAAAAAAGTATTAAAAAATAAAACAATTACTGATCCAAAAATCATCCAAACGTATAACAGAAACTTTGACCAATAGGTTTGGTTATAATCGGAGATTTCGGCACACAATTTATCCATCAGTTTTAAGTTATTTAATAATACTTTATAATCAATTCGGTGTCGGGATATGTGTCCAATTTATCGTAGATTATCTGCATTTTATACTTCAAATAGCGACACATTATGTAAAAGTAGATCATCTGATAAACCATATAACTATAGAAATATTTAGCAAATAAAGCTAAATGGCAGGCAGTGGGTAAACCATATAATATGACATACATAAGTGACATACTATGACTATAAGTTATCAAAACCATCAATAAAGTAACAATTGGTAGAACAAAATCAATGTTAAACTGACAAAAATTACACAATCGGGTCATCAATTTAATCAGTTTTAATATCTTTTGAGAATCGGTTAAACCAAGACTTTTGGGTGTTATCAACAAACCGGACATCATTTGAAAGATACGCATAAATGTCGGTTCAATACCGCACTTGTAGTTATAGTAATAGGTTAGTTGAGATAATAGTACCAATAGTGAACCCAATACTGATACAACGTATCAATTAGTGAACCTTTATCTAGAAAATAGCCCAAATCACCTAAAAATGCGAGAATCTGCCAATTATTTTCATCGATGACAAGCTGTGATGGTATGCGTTAAAAAAATATATGATATGTACGATAAATATGATAACCGGTCTATTAAACCAGTGTCTACTCGGATAACAATCTGCAATCCGATGATAACTTAAACCAATACTATATAAATGATAGGCCGACCATTTGTAGGTCATTTTCATTGCTAATAACTTTGATGAA